GACGTAGAGTTAGCTTTCTCATCACTTATGCATTAGCTCCCCCCAAAGAACATTGAGAATGGTTATTCTGCTGGACAAACTGAAGTGAAACCAGAATGAGAGATATTTGCAAGCCTTGGTCATCATTGGTTATAATAGCTGAGAATATGCTTCCTTTTTTCTCTTTTTCTTTTCAGCTTTGAGATATAACTGACAACTAACATTGTAAAATATTTAATTGACAAATAAAATTGCAAGTGGTGATTTAACTTTTCTTTTTAATCTTCACTTTAAAGTTCATTGTCGTAGCAGGATTCGTGATGCTGGAGTAAAAGGGTTCAGGTACACTGGTTTTACACCAGTGTTAAGGCAAAGAGAGGGCTGTTGAAGAACCATTTATTCAAACTGCAAAGCCATTTAGATGGTTTATTGTTTCCAAAATAATTTAGTAATAACTAACATAGAGCATATACTCTGAACTCTGTGCTTTTATTTGAATGACCTCCTTTACTTTCCAAAAACCCTATGAAAAACCACCACAGTATTATCAGTGACATTTTTAAGGATAAAAAGCTGTGATCTAAACTGGTTAAAGAAATAATAGCCCAAGTTCAAACAGCTGGAAAATGTTGGAACTAGAATTTGAACTCAATGAGTCTGACTGCAGAGATGCATGCTCCCTGCTTCCCATTAAGGCTTCTAAACCCCTTCTCTTCCATCCTCTTTCAAAAGCCTTGGCTCCTCTGGACTCATTCATTCTGTCTATCCCCCAGCTACTGCAGCTCTTCAGAACCACCTTCAGAACCACTGTCCTCGTCTGTCTCCTTTAACCCACAGAAGTTTTTGGCTCTTTCGTCACTGGTCACTTTTCTTTGCACCTTCTACTCCTGTCAATCTGTTAACCCCACCCACACCTCAAGTCCTTTAACTTCCCTCCATACCCAGCTTAGAGTCCATGGTCCTTCATTATAATCATTTTCTTACAAACACCCCAAACTCCCTTACTCTTTTCTGTCAATAATTTCATGGGGGGAAAAGCCACAACCCTGATTAAACCTAACTATCCATCTCTTCTGGAGAAAGTGGCGTAGGTAGGCCAGATGGTTTTACTTCAAATTTATGACCACAAACCTCAAGTGCCTTCCAGCATGGCCTGGCAGTCCTTACTATGTGTTTCCGTTGCTTTTACTCTTCATGGTAGTTCATATTTTCTCCTCTTTTTGTAAACCTCCCACAATCTCTTCCTCACCTCTTAGTTGCTGACCTTGCCTCCAATTTCACTGAGAAAATAGGACCGATTAAGGAGGAAGTCCTGCATAGTCCCCGCTTCAATTCTACAAGTCTGTTTGTGCGTGCATCCATCTTTTTTGTCTTTTCTCTTAATATCTTGTAGAAATGCTTCTCTCAAAGGCACTCTTTCTACTTGTCCTTTAGATTCCAGTCTTCTCACTGTCACAAGGATTTTGCTCCTGCGTTATCTTTTCTTCTCTCTTCTGCATCATTAATAGCTCCTCCCCTTTTGGATAATTCCCATTAGTATACATTCTCCAGATCTCTCATTAAAAAATACAAAAAAGATACAAAAACAAACAAAATCCTCCGTGACCTCACATTCTCCTTGTTATATTTTTCTGCTGCTCTGCACAATAAAATTTCTCAAATACCCGTCTGTCCCCACTACTTCGCTCAACTGCCTCCTACAGTCAATATGGATCCTTGTGGTGTCAGTCTGATGAGCCCGTCTGTCTTCATGTTATTTGTTCTCTCAGTAACATTAGAGACAGCTAACCACCTTTTCTTTCCCAAAGCACCTCTTTTCTTGGCTTTCATGACGCTACACTCTCCAGGTTTTTCCCTTTCCTCACTTTTTAGAGACCTAACCTTAATATTTTGAAGTTTCTAGGGCTTAGTCCTGGGCCCTCTTCTCCTATTACATTTCCTTTGGGGGTCTCATTCTTTCTTATGGCTTTAAATATTAGCTATGTTGATGACACTCAAATTGTCATCTCTAGGCCAGAACTCTCCTTTCAGTCTCAACTGCCTATTTGATATCTATAGCTGGATAACTGGACCCTTCTAATTCTGCAGGCATTAGCTCAAATTTTGTATCATTAAAGGTCACACACTCTACAGTAGCCACCCTCCCCTCTCTCTCCATTTCCTCTCCATTATATTTCTGTTTATTTCCTTTGTAGCACTTATTCTAACCATTTACTATCTACCTGAGCTATTAGATTATAATCTCATTTATTGATCTTTTAGTATCTGCTATGCACTGTTCTAACTACTCTATAAGCTTTATGATCTAATTTGCTTTTTTGACTAACCATATTTATTAAAAGCTAAACAAAAAAGTAACCTTACATTACTTCACTTTAATAGAAGGCAGTGTTAGTAAATTGATTTTCAATCTTACTATTCTATGAGAAATTTCAATATGTTTGGGTAACTCGTACTATTATGTTTCATATATTTAATATTTACATTTGTTTAAATGCACCCTCAACACTTAGATTTCTTATTGAGTAGATACATGTCAGCACATACAACTTAGAAACTGTGATGTAGAAAGACAGAGGTAAAGTTGGTGAAAAATTTCCACCAGAGATATACTATGAAGAGGCAGCTGCTTGAAAAAATTAACTGGCTTCTAAAAGGCAGCTGGAATTATTCAAGGTACAACACACACCCAGCAGAGCACCATGCAGTCCAGCTCACATGAGACCTGTTTTTTTTTCTTTAAACTCAGGGTTTGTCCTGCCCTGTAATTATAATCTCTTTCCCAGGATTTTGCTTTCTTCTGTGAAACAGCATTACAACTAGGTTTTAAGTAGAAAATAGTATCATGTCAAAATGTATATAGCAGTTTTTTCTTTTTTTCACATGGCGTATTTCTGTCAATTGAAGCAGTAAAAAAGAATGGATATTTTTGAGAATTTTCTCAAATAATGAAATATCTAGACAAACATTTCAATGCTTAATGTAGTTTCAGAAAACAGTGAAGTTTGAATTATTATCAGAATACAAAAGTGATGTCTTTTTCAGAGCAGTGTTTCTTCTAGTTACAAATTGCAATGATATCACCGCATCAGAAGGTTTCTGGTGGCTAGTTTGACATCTTTCTTTGGAAAAAAAGTTTGGCAGCATATTTAGTCAATGTAAAAGTGTATATAAAGGCAGTGGTATATATAGCAGAAAGAGCTTGGGTTTTGGAGTTAGACTTGAGTATAACACTAGATAATACACTTACTAGCTTTGTGTCTTGAGTAAATTATGTAAGTCTTTCTGTGACTCGGTTCCTATAAAATGAGAATCATAATACTTACAGGATTATTGTGATTATTAATTAAAATAAACATAAAACAGCAAATGCTCAATAAAAGTGCTCTTCTCTCTTTTGGTCCCTGTATTCCTTTCGACACTTGATAAAAATCAAAGATTTACTTAATTTAGGATAGGAAGGATTTATCAGTAGCATAGGTAAATCTTCTTAAGGTATTCAGAGAAAAATGAAACAGAACACTTTTAAATATGGGTGGCTATCACCAGTATGGTGTTTTGGAGACAGTTCTCTCATAATTATCAATGGTACAGAAGAGCAGCATTTATCTTTCTCTTTTACTACCTTCAATGATTGAACTGTTGGTAGTGTTTTGGAAAAAAAAAAAACTACCACAAAACCCTTAAATACAGAAAGCATCAACACTCAGTTTGGGAGGTCAATTTGCGTGCTAAAAATAAACGGGAAGTAAAACACTAAATAGAGACTGCAATAGCTGAATACAAGGGAAACTTACACCTGCCTCAAGTAGCTGAGGTTGGTTGGTAGGGGCTCATTGTGGGCTTGGAATTCGGGTGGGGCGCCGCATGTCAAGCAAGAATCAAGACCAGTTTTGCACCTTTGTTTCTTTGGCTCTTGACCAGCCAAAGCCGTCTGTACCAACATCCAGTCTGGTCGTGTTGGCAGATCCTTGCACTGTTTTGATAAAAATTGGAGGCCAGATGCACAAATTTAGCAATTCAAGAGGGAGTCAGTTATGTGGATAAGCTCATGCCTATTTTAAAAAAGACCGGTTCGCATTCGGAAGTAATGACAGGACTAATTTTTAAAAAACGAGTTATTTCATTCAATTAACTGGAAATCATTCCATTGTAATTTTACATTTTGCTTGCTACAGGGTACTTTCTAAGATCTGCATGGGAAAAGCCTTGATTCTTTTTCACTGTGAAATGTTTTTATGTTGAACACCTAAAACTGCTCTTGAAAATTCCCCCACGGGACTTTTGTAGTCTTTCCAGGACACACTTAGATCCAGACCCATTCCTAACCAACTCCTACCTTCCCGACCAGCCATATTCTTCAACTTCTCCAGTTTCCAATTTCCTAAATCTTCAACCTCACCCCTCGAATTAGTCCAATCAAACTTTCCCTTCTTAGACCTCTCCTTACATTCGCTACAGGAAACTCCCATGAGAATCACGTGGCCAAGCTTGTCCTCAATACCGCTCCGTAATTCTGTTCCACCGCCCTTCCTTACCTCCTGTTAGCTCCGCCCCGCCCATTCTCACTTCCCCCTCCCCCCCCGTAGTGCCTGCGCCTGCGCATCTTCAATTCAGGCGCTTTCCCTTTCCTGGCGAACAATCCACTTCCTGCCTCCGGCCCTCGGAACACTCCTCCCCTCAGCTGGGGCCCTGGCTCGAGGTGCTTGTTGTGGCTGCCCTATTAATTGCCTGTCTGAAAAATTCCCTCCTCTCACCGAGTGGGCAATTTGAACCAGCCGCTAAGTGTGCGGCACCGCTCTGAGCCTTTGCTCGCGACCCGCCATCCTGGAACTAAGCTAAGGGCATCGGTATGCCGAGAGGTGGGAGACCCGGACTGTTTTCGATTTGGCAATCGCGCGGACAGCTTCTTCCTTTCCACCGCCCTCCGCCCCGCCCCCACTCGCAGACCAGCCGCGCTGGTGAGTGGCGGGCGGGCGGGCCGGAGGGCGGAGGGAGGAGGGAGCTGAAGGAAGGCGGGCCCTCGGCTGCGAGATAGGTGGGGGGAGGGGAGGGGAGAGCCCGAGCGCTGGAGTTGGTGCTGGGAAACCCGGGGCTAATGTTGACAACAGGCTCGAGGTGAGTCCTGGGGGACCTCCTTCCCCTCCGCTCCAACGACCGGGAGGAAGCGAGGCTGAGGGGCACCGGCCTGGACTCCTAATCCCTGGGGGACCTAAGAGACGACTCCTCACCCCAGAGCTCTGGGGGCGGCAGGCAGTAGACGGACCGCGGGTTCAGCGTCGTCCTCCACAGACCCCTTTCTTGGAGGCTCCCACCAACGCGGGAGCCTCCGGCCAGGGGCAGGCATGAGGGCCGATGGAAGGGGCGCCTGCCCCCCCATGCCCCCGCTGGGCCTCGGGGCTGGAGGCGGGGAGCCTGCTGTGGCGGGGTGAAGGTGTTTGGGGGTGTGGAGAAGAGCGAGGGGAGGTTGGGGAAAGCTTTTCGGGAGCCGGGAGGGAAGCGAGGGCGAGGAAGTGGGGAGGGTGCGCGTGTGGGAGGATGTGGAGTAGGGAGACCAGCCTGAGAGTCTCGGTCTTTGGTGGCGAGGGACTGTGAGGTGAGAAGTTAGGGTTGGGGCGAGGATGGTTGGCGAAGGTGACCGTGGATACCCGCAGGAAGGGGAGTTTGTGGCGGGGAAGCGTGTTGAGTATAGGAATGTGGAGCGAGAGCAGGGGTTTGTGGGAGATGTGTGTGTAGGGGAAGGGGTTTGCGCGTCTGTGGGAATGGTGGGCATAGAATATTTGGTTTACTTCTTTTTAGTCTCATAGGCTGGTGAGTCTTCGCTTTGCCTTCATCCCAAGGCTCCTCGGGGCTCTCTTGTTCGTGTTGCTCCACTAAGGAGATGATCGCAGCATATTTGGTCTCCAGGTTGGCCAGGCAGACCCAGCTCACAGGCTTGGGGGTACACACTGGACAGGACCTTCAGCTCTTTTTCTGTTTTAGGGCTTAGGCGTAGTGAAGCATCAGACTAAGGTGTTTATATTGTGCAGCTCATCAAGAAAGCCATCTTTGAACTGTGGTGAAGGAGTCCTTTATAATACTATGGACGTTTTTTAAAGTCGAAGACTGGGAAATAATGCCCCTATGTGGCTCTGTCCTTAGAACATTTTGAATAACAGAATTAAAAGGTAAACAGCGTTCCCTTACTCTGGTGTGTTTTCCGAGCAGTATGATTGTGATTTCATACAGAGTCCATATGGTACTTTGCAAAGAAATATCTTTAAAAGGGAAACACCCCTTTCCCTGCACTCTGCCCTCCAGTACACTCCGTTGGTACCTGTTTTACTAGTAAAGTAGCTTTACTTTCTCTTGGAAGTTAAGAGTATATTTAGAAAACCAAATAAAACATAAAGCCCAAGGGCCAGGACACTATTTTAGGAGCTAGGAAGATGGTTTTAAAGCATGGCTTCCTTTTAAGGACTCTCTGACTAGAATTGTACTCAGTAAAATAATTTGTAAGAGCTAATCATATTTCAGTTAAAAGATCACTAATTTTTATGTGTATTTGAGATAGAGTCTATTTAAAGTTCTGGTTTTTACTTGAAAAACTTTTGGAAACACTTTAGATAAAATATTTGGCGTTTATTGAAGCATGGATTTATTAAAATAATTAAAAGGACTTTAGCATTTCATTAAATGTAATTTAATGCCCAGTTATTTTGTTGATGTAATACAAATGCATACTGAAACGAATCATGTTGTTTTTATATTTTATTTGGCTTTTTAAATCTTAGAGTCAGAGTATGTAGTGGAAAAGAGCACTGGACAGTGAGTCTTTACCTAGCCACTAAACTAGTTGTGTAATTTTGGAAGGTCGCTCTTCTGTTGCACCTCAATTGAGAATTGGAGTAGATAAAAATCTAGTGGTCCTCTCTCTAAAAGTCTCTTACGGTGAACTTCTCAGTGTTCTGTATGAATGAACAAACATTTATTGAATGCCTCCCTCATGCTCGCTTCTATGCTAGGAGTTTAAGAACTCTGTAAGAGAGGTAGCAATATCTCCATTGTATCAATGAATAGACTTGGAAAAGTTGTGGCCCAGTTTCCATAGCTAGCAGGTTGCAGAGTTGGGATGCAAACTTTAAGTCTGCCTGACTTCAAAGCCCATATTATTTTCACATGTTGCATTGTTACTTTTACATGAACCTTTAGATATTCGTCATTATTTTTTGTTCACTGAAATTTAGTTCCAAGTATACTTTGGGTATATGTTTGTGATAATAAGGATGAAATGATTCAAAGAAGATACCAATACCAAGACTTAAGGGTCTTATTGAGAATCTGTTTTATGCTCTAGTGCAGTATCTAATTCATAAGTGCCTACTACAGTTTGATATAGTAGGCACTTAAAATTTATTCCATAAATGAAGACTAGAGAGTCACAAACGTTTGGGAGACTTGTTGAGGTAATAAACAATGATCCTTTATGAATTTGTCAGATTTCAAGTGAATTTCTTAATGTTTTAACAGAACTTTATGTCTAATTTTATCTTCATAAATGAGACATTAATTGTTAATTTTGATGCCATATTTTAAATTGTCCGAGAACTGTAGTGCCTTGTATTGCTGAAATGTTTGTTGTTGCTTCATATCAGAAAATACAAATTCTATATAAACATTTTTTTGCACATAACGACAAATATCCCTAAATAAGGTTGTATTGTTACCTTAGGAATTATCTTGTCCCCATACATTTTAGCTAGAATCTGCCAACAATAAAAACATAATGTAAAAACTGCTTAGCCATTATCAGGGATTCTTTCTACTCTGAGATACATAATTCTGTGATTTTTCTTAGTATCTGTATAGAAGTCTTCCAGTTTACCATTTGGTACTCGCAAGGTTCTTAATAACTTTGGTTAAGGGTATGGGTTCAGATTCCATCTCTGTCACCAGCTGTGGAGGCCTTGATCAGGTTACTCGAGCCAAGTCTCAGTTTACACATTTATAACAGGGAAAATAATACCTACCTCATAAAGATTTTAGTATTAAATGAGATAAAGTATATAAGATATTCACTATGGACCAGTGAATGGTAGCTATTCGTATCCTCTTGTTTGAAAGTTTGCTTGCTTTAGGGCATGATATTTTCACATTAAAGGTGGGTATTTAATTGAAACTGTATAAGAATTGATAACTACACTTCCCAGGAAATATAAATGTTAACACTGTCTTAACTAAAGACAGGGCATTACTGTCAAGATAAATGCATAGAACATGCAAGGGAGAGTAAGAGTAAAAGAGAAAAGGGGAGAGGAGAAGTGACAGAGAAGGTACAGACTGGCATGTGCCTCTAAACATTAAAGTGCCTTTACTGGCCTAGGTTGTCGTTCTGTGATAACATTTTATTAGCGTGCAAAAATAAATGCTTTGTGTGTTAATAAGTAATACAATAGTTATTGCATATGTTTTGTTAACCTAGTTTTTATTGCTATAATTTAAAACCTATATTTGAAAATATTTGAGAATGCTGTGTATGTAGTTTTTAATAAAAAAAATTGGAAGTTTAAGTAATCTATATTTCTTAAATAGAAAGTACTGCGATTTTCTTATACAACTTTCAGATGATTTAGGAGTTAAAGCATGAAGCACTGTCCATAAAAGAAATTATTTTAGAACCTTAGTTCTAAGTAGGAAATTTAATTTTAGAAATGAAAAATCCTGAATTTTGCTGGGAAATACATTTTTTGTTCCAGAGTTTATTTCCAGCTAACTGTATAAAGCCTGTATTATAGACCAGTGCTATTCTATAGAATTTTATGTCCTGATGAAAATGTTTTATATCTGCATGTCTGATTTGGTAGCCACTAGCCACATGTGGAATGAGCACTTGAAATATGGATAGTGACCGAAGAGCTGAATTTCAGCTTCTGTTTAATTTTAATTAATTTACATGTAAGTTGCCACATGTGGCTAGTGCAGTGGTTGTTGACTGGTGGCTATGTGGTCTCCAGGGGACATTTGACAATGTCGGGAGTAATTTTTGGATGTCAAAACTAGGGAGATACTACTGGCATCTACTGGATAGATGGCAGGGAATACTGCTAAACTTGGTATAATGTATACAATAGTGTTACCCACCCTACCCCACCTCCCAGCCCAAACCCAAAACACAAAGAATTATCTTGCCCAAAATGTCAATAGTGCTAATAGTGAGAAACCCTGGGCTGGGGCTACTGTATTGGCAGATACAGAACAGAATATACAGATTTTATAATTATCATATTTATTTATACATTAATTTTGACTAATACTAATGAAAAGATTAAAGGTCTAGTCTAATTTGAGATAGTTGACAGTTTTTTGTTTGAAAGTTTGATAAGGTTAGAAGAATGAGACTTCCGTTGAGAGTCTACTGTTGTCAGTTTTGGTCAGTTTGGTTTATAGGAGCCAAGAACTTATTTATGCTCTTATCTTAAATACTTCTGTTGAATATTGTCTGAAATAGTGTCACCAGCTTCTCCCAACTGATGTGAAATGTTGGGATTAAAACTGACTTAGAATGTTCTCTGATGCATGCAGAAGTATTAATGATTAAATGATAGGTTGTTGTGGCGTTGATAGTGGTTGAATTTGGGTGATGAATATATAGAGTTTCCTTATATTGTACTGTATACTTTTGTTTGTGTTTGAGTTTTTCCTTAATAAAAAATTATTTAGATGTAGGCATAACTAATGATAGAATGTGGAAAGTGACCAATGAATTATTGTATCAGAAATAGTATTCATTTTGCATGCATTTATTTAATTTCTCATAGTTGTCAAGTTGTGTTAATATGTTCTGTTTAAAAAAAAAATAGTGTCACATCACTAAAAAAAAAGTCACTGCATCTACAATACTGACATTCTTTTACTCTTACAGATTGTCCTGGGTAACATAATGCCAGCTGAGCGTAAAAAGCCAGCAAGTATGGAAGAAAAAGAATCTTTGCTAAACAACAAGGAAAAAGACTGCGGTGAAAGACGGCCAGTGAACAGCAGGGAAAAACCAAAAGAAGAGATCAAGCTCACTGCCAAGAAGGAGGTTATTAAGGTCCCTGAAGATAAAAAGAAGAAACTGGAAGAAGAAAAGAGAAAAAAAGAAGACAAAGAACGTAAGAAAAAAGAAGAAGAAAAGGTGAAGGTAGAGGAGGAATTGAAGAAAAAAGAGGAAGAAGAAAAAAAGAAACATGACGAAGAAGAGAGAAAGAAGCAGGAAGAGCAGGCTAAACGACAGCAAGAGGAAGAAGCTGCTCAGCTGAAGTAAGATCGTTTATTTTAATGATCGATGTGAAGGAATGGGAAGGTGGAACTGTTTTGTTTTTGAAAAACTGATTATTTGAAATAAAATTTTCGGGATACAATTCCTTAAGAGTTGGGAGTATCTTAATTGACATATTGTGTTAGGTTCACTGATTAGAAGCATGCTTACGGTGCTTTAATTCTTTGAGTTAAATATTTGTAATCTTTAATAAATATTTTTTGAGGTAGAGGATAATCTGGGTTGTTTTTTAAAAACTTTTTCTCATGGAATAATATTCCACCTTGTTAAGTTAAAAGTCTTCGTTGTTAATGGCTGCTATTTGTTGAGTCCTTACTGTGTGCCAGGCACTAGGAGATATATCAGTACATATCCTTAAGGAAGTCCTAATGAAGTAAGTTTTATGATCCTCATTTTCCAGATTAATAAAACTATTGTGCCTGAGGTCACAGTAAACAGTGGAGTGCTGGGATTAGAACCTAGGTTGGGCTGACTTGAAAACCTTTGTGCTTAAGTACAAGTCCATAATTCCTCCCATTCTTTATCTGAATTTATTTTTAACCTTGTAAATCTATGCAAGTAATATAATAAAGTGGTGAAAAACGAGGTAGTCAGGAAGACTGGTAGGATATAGCTTAAATGAGTTATTGAATAGCATACGATCTTTACACATATAATTTAAAATGCTGTTTGCAAACGTGAATTGTCATGGATTTCTACAACAGCTTAGCCACCTAACTTTCTTACCAAAGTTCTCCTTTAATACAGTACTTCTATTTTAATGAGAAACTGGATCCTTAAGTCTGGAAGGCAATAGTAGTGTATTCCAGTTTTGGAATATTCAGAACCATGGTTCTTAAGAGTTTCTTGCTTATATTGATATTTTACTTTTTTCTTTTTTAACTTACAAGGATACTCAATTTCACTGTAACTTTTGCTTTCTCTCCCTTCCAGTACAAAGAGCTTAAAAACGAAAAACAAAAACCTCAACTTTTTATTGGGAAAAATTCAAACATGCAAAAAACAGAATGGAATAATGAACCAATCCGCCCATGTCCCCACCGTCCTTCCAACTACCCAACATCAACAATTACCCACTTTTCCCCCCTGGAGTATTTTAAATCATCACATTATTTCCTCTATAAATATGTTATTATATATATCTTAAAGTGTTTTTAATACAGATGAAAATTGAGTTAATGCATACGTGTATGCACGTGTGCGCATGCGTGTGCACGCGTGTACACACTCTT